TATCATTTACAGTAAATTTTAGCACTGTAAGTTACGCCTTAGTATTTCAATGCATTTTTCAAACTCGTTAAAATATAGCTATTTCCTAGTGGATTGATCACAAAAGGTGGCCCATGGTCCAACCCATCCATTAAATAACTTAGGTGGTCTTCAACCTTAGGCGCATCGTATAGTCAAGAACACACCTCAACCTTTGCCTCGGCAGAAGAACAAGCTTCAACATACCGACGAGCTTAGAGTGAACCGCAAATTTTGACCAAAGCAGACACTAATTTCTCGAAGCGGCATGCTTGGGCCGATGTGCACGCTTAAGTTGAAACACCACGAACCCACAATTTTTTCCTTGCTTTGGGAATGTAAATAGCTTTAGCGCAACATGACAGGTGTGACTTGCTAGGCAAATAGGAAGCACTTGGCTCACTTCGACAAGTCAAAAGGAATTGGTTGGGCAAGTTCAGGAGGAAAGTCTATTTAAGGCACTAGCTCCTAGATGACGTGAAACCTTTAAACAAATTTACGATAATATTACTTGCCAAATATTTAATCGAAAAATAGGTAACCCAAAAAGGTTTTTTTGTCCAATATATTTCTCTAATTGCTTGTCTACGCTATTTTGTCTCTACTTAAATGCAACCCAAATCTAGATATCTAATCGAAAAAATGGCGTAGTACATACCAATCAAGAATTTTCTTAGGCGATAATGTAGGATGACTTTAGGAATGTAGTGAATTTTGAGAACGGATTTATTTATGATATAAATATCACGAGTTTAATTTTTTTAAGAAAAATATTTAAATATGTCTTTGTTTGATCCTCATTATTTCAAAAATATATTTTTCTCTATCCTTTTTAACCACATATTTTTCAGTAAAATAACATTACACGCAAATTTAAAATTTTTTCTTATTTTTTAATCATACATTCTTCATCAATCTACCATTCCAAAACACATTCTTGCAGTAAAATGGGGCTCAAGCATGCTCATATATATTGCACACAAGTAAATGCCACTTATCAAATTTTTATAAGGTAATTAGCACAAAACATTCCGACTTTTCAATGTTATTGTGCAAAACGTCCACATCTTTTTCATTTTTTGACATTTTCATCTCTATTTTTATTTCAATACAGAAAATGTCCTTTTCTCAATTAAAAAAAAATGTAAAATGACAAATATACATTCTTATTTAGATAAAACAAAAAGAAAAGAAAAGAACAAATTACAATTATAATCCTAAACTTTTTAAAAAATTACAAATGAGTCCAAATAAATTATTAAAGGGAATTAGCACAAAACGTCCTTACGTTTCAATATTATTATGCAAAACGTCCTTACCCTTTATTTTTTGGTATTTCTACCTTTACTTTCTCTACATTGCGAAACTCATTATTTTCATCCTTTTTTTTAAATTAAATGTAAAATGATGAATATACCCTAATATTTAAATAAAAATAAAAAAATTGTATCTATACTCCAAAAATTTTCAAAAAATTACGAATAAATTTCAAATAAATAATAAAAAAGAAATAAAAATCATTTTTTAATTATTTATTTGAAATGTATTTGTACTTTTTTTTTTTTTTTGAAAAAGTTGGGAGTATATTTGCAACTTGTTATTAATTTTTTTTATTTAAATAGGAGGGTATATTTATCATTTTACAACTTTTAATTTATATTAAAATGCCAAAAAAGAAAGATAGTAAAATTTTGTACAATAATATGGAAATGTAGAGAACTTTGTACTAATTACGCTTTTAATAATTTATTTGAACTCATTTGTGATTTTTTAAAAAGGTTGGGAGCATAATTCCAATTTTTTTAAAAAATTTCTTTTTTTTTTTTAGTTTTATTTAAATAGGAGGATATATTTGTTATTTTACATTTTTTTTATTGAGAAAATGACATTTTTCGCAATTAAATGTGAAAATATTGGTGAAAATATCAAAAAAATAAAAGGTATGGACGTTTTACACAATAACATTAAAGTGTATAAATGTTTTGTGCTAATTACCCATTTCTATATTTATGATTTTTTGCTATTTTTAATAGGGTGATTTTAGTAAAAAAAATCAAACATATTTGTATTCATTTTGTCTTATTAAATAACAATTTTAAAGACTAATTATTAATAGAGATGGCAAAAAAATCCGCTAAATCTAATATTTCATTCGGGGATTACCCACTCAATCTAATATTCTGATCGAGGACAAGGCGATTTTTTGCCTCAGGGCAAGTATGGGTAAAAAAGCAAAGGCTAACTCGCCCCGTTCCCATCCCTAATTATTAAACAGGCTAATATTTTAGAATGTAGTAATTCTTGCAGTTCATTTATGCGGAACTGGACGGTTAAATGTTTATAACTTCACATTCTTTTATGAAAATAATTAACCTAATAATTACATTCTTGTTCAGAATTTTTAAAAATACCTCCTTTTGTTTAAAATTTACCTCCTTTTACAATCTTTAAAAAATAACTATTGTCATTTAAAACTGAAATATTTCAAGTTCTGATTTGGAAAAATAATATTTTTATATGGGTAACATATTGTGCTACCATACGTTACTTTTTTTAAAACATTATTTTGCATTATAAATTTTTTTATAAAAAATTCTACGTGCATTAGTAAAATATTATGTTATCTTTTGTTACTTTTTATTAAAAAGTCGTCGTTTTGCACCACTAATAACACGTGATGTGACAGTGTGACACTCAAAGTCAATGGATTATAAGAATTTGTTCATCTTTGTTTTTATTACAAAAATAAAATAATCTTCTCGAGCTACTAGTCTATTAAATTGCAACTCTACTCCTTGCTAAATTATTCGTCGAAATAGAACTCTTTGATTGAAATTGTTAGAATAGTTAGAGAAATATTTACTATTGAAATTGAAGTTCTTTAAAAAGCAAAAAATAAATTCAAGATAAATTTGAAGTTGTTAGTCTAACTGGTATCCCTATCGTACTTATATCTTTTGTTGTACTAAGTCTCGATTGACGTATTCATTCACTTTAACTCACGATAAAAGATTTTTAGTTAAGAAGATGAATTTTTGTTATTTTAATTAAGAACAAATATTAGAATAGAATAAACGATTTTCTTTAACCTCGCTCTCAGCCCAACCTTTCACAAAATGCCAACCAGATACGTTGTCTTCATTGGTAACATTTTTGTATGTAAACGGAAAGACGTTAAAAACTTAATATTTTTAAAAGTGTTTTTTTGAAAAAAAGTTAACTAGATGAGATAAAAATCAAGAATAAAAAAAAAAGAGTTATTTTTAAAATTTTGAAAGAGATGTAGGTATATAGTCTAATTCCTTCTAAATTTTAATGCCTTGCAACATGATTGCATTAATACATAAATCCCAATAGTCTATTAGAGTAGAGATTATAATAATTTCTAAATTTTTGTGATTTTAATTTTATTTTAAAAATATCATGTGGTTCAAATGTTCCTTGATGTTAGTAAAAATCAAGAATTATCAACTTTTGGCAGACAAGTAGGAAAATTTTTTAGTATTTACCTAAACTACGAAAGAATTAAAATATGCAAAAAATTTGCTAGACCTGTGAACAACACGTGTCTTATTTCAAGATTTTTTTGCTATTTTTATTACCATGATTTGAGTATTAATGGATTTTCATTATATCGAGCAGAACTTTGCAGCACTACTAGGGCCAAAAGAGTTTAATCCTATCGAGCATGTTTGGATAGAGTAAGAATTAAGTCTTATTTTGTGAACAAAATTGTTCCAAATCAGCATGTTCGAGACCCAAAACTTAAAAAGATAATAAATTACTTAATTACTACATGCTCATTAAAATTCTTTTGAAAAAAGACACTTGAAATAAGATTAGGATTTAAGGAAACATAGTCGATATACTCCTTCCATCCAATAAAAATATGCTTGATTTCCTTTTCTCTCAGTCCCAAATTTAGTTTCTTCCACTACATTTTAATTGCACTCAAGCTTCTTAATATTTGCTTATAATAATACTTGTTTCCCTTACCATTTTTCATGTCACTGTTATCATAAAACTTTTCTTTAGTTAACACATTTTGTATTTGATACAATTTTATGTCTAAAAGTTCATTAAAATGACATAAAACAACTTATTTTCCTATCATATTTTTTAAAAATAAATAAATAAAAAGTGTGAAAAAAATATTTCTCTCTTATTTCCATGCATGAACAAAAGATTTTGAAATAAATTATCATCAAGAATAAGACATATTAATTAATCAAAGGTTAAAGATAAGAATTCAACACAAAAAGTTAAGGATATAATTGTTACAATGAACAAAGATTAGGGAACTTAACTACGATTAAAATGTAGTGTATCAAATAAAAATTGTGGTGACAATATAACCACATTTTTCCTTAATGAAAGCATATATATTTTTTAGTTTTCTAAAATGCCATTATTTAATAAACGTTGTGATCAACAAATATAAATTGATCTTATATAAATCATTATTTAATATAGATATAAATTAGGAAAATGTAAGGAAAGAGCTTCTTCAACTTGTTTCTTGCTTTCTCGCTTTTGAGAGGTGAACGGGACCTGCACGTACGATTTTTAAGGAGATCCAAGATAAAGATCGGTCAACGCCAATCCAACTAGGTGGATTGAGAAAATAATAGATTACACAACTTTATATTTACAATTATATAATTACATTTTCTTAATTTGTGTGAAAATAGAAATAAGTCTATCTTTATGGAACGAATGGATGATAGTGTAGAAAGATTGAATGGATGTAGTGCAGTTTGGTAATTATTCGAGAAACAATTGGGTTCAATTTTTTTATTTTATTTTATTTTTAAGAGAGCATTTGTGATGTTATATTTCACACAAAAATATATGCCATCTACCCAAATTATGTATTAATTTTTTTTTTTAACGGTGATTTGTGTATATTATGTCAACTTTATATATAACACGGTGTATCAAACGTACACTACAAGTATTTGAAATCTTGCTCACATCAAAGCTAAACCATCCTAGGTATTTTCGATGAATAAAGTCAGTGTGTCAGATAATTTTGTCCATCTAGATGGCCGACCCTCACATTGGCATGGGATCCACGCCGATCTCATGTAAATAAAAAATGTAAAAAATGGCACCCCACACATCCCGACTGTGAGTGTAGGTCAGTTGGGGTGTCAAAATAATTCTGTCACCCCAGCGGAATTGATTTTCGATTACTAAAAACCCTTCGATGATGAAGATATTTAGTCCATGTCTTTTATATGCCGTCGTTGCCTCAGCCTACTCTTCAATACAATCCAATTTCCTCGGTCTTCGCTTTCTAGACCTATTTGATATAGAATGTGATCGATCTCCTCGGCTCTCATATCCCTCATTTACTTTCCAATCCAAAACCGTTTCAAGCCCATCATCAGTTTTAGTCCTATCGGGATAACTATATGCTCCAAGCTCCCTAAAATTCAAGCTCTAATCAGTAACATCGGAAATGGATTTCATTGGGGGTTTGCGACGTTTGAAAAACAAACACACGACTGCACAATCGTCAATCTTGGCACACTGGAATTTATATCTCCATGTTCGAACAACGCGTTCTACCAACATTTTAGCTGCCGTTGATCGTGTCTTTGTCGATGCCAAAATCTTAACTACTTCATTGTTCGTTAACACATCCCATATCTGAACTAAAACAAGAGTTTTAAGTGAATTCATTGTAGTTATCACTTATCAGGAAAGAGTGAGGCCATTTTTAAATCAAGTTCTCTCGTGTATGCATATCAAATATGTCTATTTTAGATATACAAAATCTTTTGAACAAAAGTCTTACCCCATCAGTTGCTAGGACCAAGAATTCGTCTCTTTTTGTGAGCTTCCTGTAAGTTACTTCGGGAGTTGAGATTAGACCGAAATCTTTTATTAGACCGAAATCTTTTAAACAAAAACCTCCAAAGGCTCTTGCCATAGCAAGACCAGGGCAATCTTGATCAGGCATCCATATTCTAAACCCATTTGGTTCTTCATCCATTGCCAAAACTCTGCCTTGGCAACTTTTAATCCGTTGTGCTTCACCTAATTTAGATGCAAAGATAAGGCTAAATTTGCCCAATACAAAACTGGATCAAAACTTTTGGCCATTTTGATGCAAAGGAAGATAAAAAACACTACCTTGGAAGATTCGGTTTCAAATCGACCGTTGGCTGTTTGGAAATAAGTTGATTGTTATCATCCCTAGTACACAGAACAGCAGAGAATCCCCTAAATTTGCAACAACCAACTGTTCACACTGAAAGAATTAAATGAAGAAAAATTCAAAATAAGATACCTTATGAAAAAAAATTCATTACAGCACGTTTAGCAGAGGGGATTGAATAGCACTATGTAGTATAAACGTGTTGGGGATCCTAGGAGTTCAAACAACCAAAACAACAATCAACAAACAAGATTCAAGGCAAAAATCAAGAAAAACGGGAATGGAAAAATACAACCCTTTTTGGCCGAAAATCTGTCCAGCTTTTCTGCTTCGTTTCAGCAGCTCCTTCTTCGATTTATGGGTGTTTTTCCAGGCTCAGGAACAGCCCCATGTTATGTCAATTGCCTTCCAAAGAGAGAGGGGAAAAACCAATGAAGAACCACCACCCTTTTCAATGAAAACCGAGAGCTCCTCACTCTGCTGGGAATCCTCAAAAACGTGAGCTACCCATCCCTTTAAAATGGTAGAGAGTACATTTGAAGGGGAAGGTAGGAAGACCATGCCTCTGCCAAAACGTGGAAGACCTTATTGTGTCAACCTCACTACCATCAAGTCACAACATTGGGTGGTGGGGTTAGGTGAACCATATCCTCACATTCTTCACCTTGGTTCTCCTAACACTCTCTCTTGGTTGCGAATTTGCACATGGAAGAACTGTTCATCATCATCGCCCACCACCTGCAAGAAAAATTAACCAGTGTCAATGTGTAATAAAGATAAGCACAACCTAAATTTACTTGCAGGTAGAATTTTTGTTCCCATATCAGAGGGATTCCTATCAGTGTGAATTTTAACAAGATTAACTTCACCTTGAGACAATTTCTCGCGTATAAAATGATACTTTACCTCAATATGTTTAGTTCTTTCATGGTAAACAGGATTTTTACAAAGCAATAAAGCACTTTGACTATCAGTAAACATAACAGGTGTATCATGCATGAAGTTCAATTCCTTTAAAATTCCTTTTAACCAAGTACATTCTTTAGCCGCCTCAGTTATGGCAACATATTCTGCCTCAGTATTTGACAAAGTAACTAAAGGCTGCAGCTGTGACTTCCATGTTATACAATTGTCACCAAGTGTAAAAAAGTACGCTGTGGTAGACTTTCTGCTATCCTTGTCACCAGCAAAATCAGAGTCTACATACCCCTTTAGAGTAAGTTTTTCAGATCTCTTTTCATACACTAAACCCAGATTTAATGTACCAACAATGTACCTTAACAACCATTTCAAACCTGCCCAATGAGGCTTTCCTGGGTTTGACATAAATCTGCTCAAAAAACTTATAGCATAGGCTAAGTCAGGCCTGGTTGTTATCATAGAGAACATGACGGAACCTATAGCATTAGCGTAGGGTATGTTCCTCATTTCTCTAAATTCCTCCTCAGTCTTAGGAGATTGTACACCAGAAAGATTCATATGAGCTGCTAAGGGAACGTTCACAGATTTTGATCCATTCATACCAAATTTGGTTATGACTTTGTTTAGATAGGCTTCTTGGGAAATGAATAGTCTATTTTCAGCCCTATCTCTCTTTATAACCATCCCCAAAATCTTCT